TCAGAGGACTTGTGGAGCAATTTTTCTTGCGAGCGTTCGTGCGTGATGCTGATGAGCGTTCCCATTGGGAGTGGCGGCGACGCTGATGACACAGTTGGAAGAGCCGTCTTAGGCCTGGCGGCCGATGCCGTTTTTCCATTGGGACTTCTGTCTGAGCTGCCTGCTTCGACAGCTCCGCTGCCAGTCATCCTTTCACGCGCCTTCTTTCAGAACAGTTGCGGTGCCGCATTCGATCACAGATGCAGACGCGGTCCTGCTGAGCAATAGGTTGGGGAGTGGCGGCGACGCTGATGACACAGTTGGAAGAGCCGTCTTAGGCCTGTCGGCCGATGCCGTTTTTCCATTGGGACTTCTGTCTGAGTTGCTTGCTTCGTCAGCTCCGTTGCCAGTCATCCTTTCGACACGGCGAGGTCATGCGCGTCTTCTTTCAGAACAGTTGCGGTGCCGCATTCGATCACAGATGCAGACGCCGTCCTGCTGAGCAATAGGTTGGGGAGTGGCGGTGACGCTGATGACACAGTTGGAAGAGCCGTCTTAGGCCTGACGGCCGATGCCGCTTTTCCATTGGGACTTCTGTCTGAGTTGCCTGCTCCGTCAGCTCCGCTGCCAGTCGACTCGACTCAATGATATCGTGCGCGCCTTCTTTCAGACCAGTTGCGGTGCCACATCCGATCACATATGCAGACGCGGTCCTGCTGAGCAATAGGATTGGGAGTGGCGGCGACGCTGCTGACACATATGGAAGAGCCGTCTTAGGCCTGGCGGCCGATGCCGTTTTTCCGTTGGGACTTCTGCCTGAGTTGCCTGCTTCGACAGCTCAGTTGCCGGTCATCCTTTCGACACAGTGAAGTCGTGCGCGCCTTCGCTGCTTTCTTTCAGGTTGCGGTGCCACATCCGATCAAATCTGCAGACATGGCCCTGCTGAGCAATAGGTCGGGGAGTGGCGGCGACGCTGATGACACAGTTGGAAGAGCCGTCTTAGGCCTGACGGCCGATGCCGTTTTTCCATTGGGACTTCTGTCTGAGTTGCTTGCTTCGACAGCTCCATTGCCAGTCATCCTTTCGACACGGTGAGGTCATGCCCGCCTTCTTTCAGAACAGTTGCGGTGCCACATCCGATCAAAAATGCAGACGCTGTCCTGCTGAGCAATAGATTTGAGAGTGGCGGCGACACTGATGACACAGTTGGAAGAGCCGTCTTAGGCCTGGTGGCCGATGCCGTTTTTCCACTGGGACTTCTGTCTGAGTTGCTTGCTTCGTCAGCTCCGTTGCCAGTCATCCTTTCGACACGGTGAGGTCATGCGCGCCTTCTTTCAGAACAGTTGTGGTGCCGCATCCGGTCACATATGCAGACGCCGTCCTGCTGAGCAATAGGTAGGGGAGTGGCGGCGACGCTGATGACACAGTTGGAAGAGCCGTCTTAGGCCTGGCGGCCGATGCCGTTTTTCCATTGGGACTTCTGTCTGAGTTGCCTGCTTCGACAGCTCCGTTGCCAGTCATCCTTTCGACACGGTGAGGTTACGCGCGCCTTTCTTCAGAACAGTTGCGGTGCCACATCCGATCAAATGTACAGACGCCGTCCTGCTGAGCAATAGGTTGGGGAGTGGCAGCGACACTGATGACACAGTTGGAAGAGCCGTCTTAGGCCTGTCGGCCGATGCCGTTTTTCCATTGGGACTTCTGTCTGAGTTGCCTGCTTCGACAACTCCGTTGCCAGTCATCCTTTCGACACGGTGAGGTCATGCGCGCCTTATTTCAGAACAGTTGCGGTGCCGCATCCGATCAAATATGCAGACGCCGTCCTGCTGAGCAATAGGTTGGGGAGTGGCGGCGACGCTGATGACACAGTTGGAAGAGCCGTCTTAGGCCTGTCGGCCGATGCCGTTTTTCCATTGGGACTTCTGTCTGAGTTGCCTGCTTCGACAACTCCGTTGCCAGTCATCCTTTCGACACGGTGAGGTCATGCGCGCCTTATTTCAGAACAGTTGCGGTGCCGCATCCGATCAAATATGCAGACGCCGTCCTGCTGAGCAATAGGTTGGGGAGTGGCGGCGACGCTGATGACACAGTTGGAAGAGCCGTCTTAGGCCTGTCGGCCGATGCCGTTTTTCCATTGGGACTTCTGTCTGAGTTGCTTGCTTCGTCAGCTCCGTTGCCAGTCATCTTTTCGACACGGTGAGGTCATGCGCGTCTTCTTTCAGAACAGTTGTGGTGCCGCATCCGGTCACATATGCAGACGCCGTCCTGCTGAGCAATAGGTAGGGGAGTGGCGGCGACGCTGATGACACAGTTGGAAGAGCCGTCTTAGGCCTGGCGGCCGATGCCGTTTTTCCATTGGGACTTCTGTCTGAGCTGCCTGTTTTAGCTCCGTTGCCAGTCATCCTTTCGACACGATGAGGTCATGCGCGCCTTCTTTCAGAACAGTTGCGGGGCCACATCCGATCAAATGTACAGACGCCGTCCTGCTGAGCAATAGATTTGAGAGTGGCGGCGACACTGATGACACAGTTGGAAGAGCCGTCTTAGGCCTGGTGGCCGATGCCGTTTTTCCATTGGGACTTCTG